GAGGAGTTTCACTGAGACAAGGAAAAGGGATGGGGGTCCTTCTCATTTCGCCCTCCCCTTGCAGTCCCCTCGCTCTCTGCCCCCCCTTCTGTAACCCTCCCTGAGGAGCTCTGGGGGTCTCCGGGGCTCAGGCGGTCTCTTTCTTTCCTCTCCCGCCTGCCTTCCGTCGGCCCCGCTTCTTGTCGCCTCTTTCCCCGTCTTCTTTCTGATCCTCCTCGAGTCGTCCCCGCTCTGCGGTTTCCCTCTCCCCTGGGCCCCCTCTGGCCCAGACATATCGGCCCGCTTTCAACATCCCCCCGCCGCGGCAGCGTCTGCAGAGGCGAGGGGAGGACTGGGTATTAGTGCCTGGCGCGGCCATATCTTTAGTGTCAGCGTCAGGAACAGAAGGAGGATCATGACAGGCATATGGGCTCATTTGGACGAGGAGAACAATCCAGGATGAAACGATGTTGCAATACCCCCTCCCGTGCGAAATCGCCTCTTTCAGAAGTCCGTACCAGTCGGAGTTGCGGGGTGTCCCCCCCTTTCACAGACGACCTCCAAGAACCCGCCTGCTTCTCCTCCTCCCTCCACCATCTCTCGCTTCTCATCTTCTTCCTCCAGCTCTGTGTCCGCCTCAGCTCAAGCCATGTTGGTTCAAGGCTCAAGCTGTAAAGCGTCAAGCCTTCACCGAATCTTTCTCGTCTGCGCGGCATGGCAGCGGCAAGTACGGGAGGGGGTGGCCGCAAACTCAAGCTTCAGGCAGCAACCCAGAGGCTCCAGACAAGAATATGCGAAGACGCAGAACGCCAACGATGACAAGGACGACGAATTGGGAGATGGAGAGGAGATTGATACGAAAGTCCTGATGCGGAAGCTGATGGGCATTAAAAAAGGAGCGTGGAACAACACGAACTTCACATTAAGAAAGCGATGGAGGATAAGTTGGCCAGGATTGAGCAAGCGGCCCAGATCGCCAGCGACACCGCAGGAAAACTATGGCGGAGGCTAAGAATGTCAAGAGCGGTATTACCAGGTTGATGGAGAAGGGAATAAGCTGGAACACGACAGATGGCCAACGAGTTCGTACTAAGGCGTTGCCGGAACGAATTGTACAGAATCCGGTTCCGCAGGAGGGCAATGTTAGGAGTCAGGTGAACGATGATGTTGGCGAGGAGAGGGAACTCCATGTAAATGGAAAGGGCCTAGAGGAGCAACCCGGCAAGTATGATGTCATAAAGGACGGCAGGGGCGTGGTAGACGGGATTGGAATGAGTGCCGCGCGCACGAATATGTCAACACTTAGTGGCTCATCAAAGTTTGGAACTGTGCGCATGAAAACTATTGCGGCCAAGAGTGTTTTACTGAAGACGGCGGAATGTAGAACCACCAGTGGGCCAGCGGCCCCGGCATGGCGTTCTCATGCAACGGCCCGTTGCAGAGAGCACTGGAAGACAATCACTTGTGAATAATCATGCGCATGTGCAACGAAGAGGGTGGCCATGCCATGAAGGATTGAACTATCCACTGGAACAGTGGGTCGGTGACGTTCAAGGGCGCGAAGGTTGCGCGGGTGGTGGGCGGCGCCGCGCAGTGCGAGGCGGAAGGGGGGGCAGGTAGAGGAAGCAACCGAGAAATACATGGAGGATTGGATGCAGAAGTGGACCAGTGATGACAAGTGTAATGAGGACATCAGTACATCAAGCAAAGGAGATCGGGCACGATACCATAATGCACGCGGGGGGGGGGGGGGGCAAGCAGCGCAGCGCGGCGCGAAGACGCGGCGCGCGCCGGAGAGGGCATCGAGTTCGACGCACAATAACGAATATTATATTCAGACAGCGCCTGATTGACGCACTTTCCACCTGAATGTCCGGGGCCTCATCTCCAGCGACAAGATGGCAGAGCTGTTCTTGGCATAAAAGAATGCCATGTAGGATGTCGCGTGGTTGGCCGAGGCGCGGCGGCCCCAGCCGAGAAGGCATGTCATTTTGCGCGGCGGGCGCGCTGTCGCCGGGCGCCGTCGGGATCGCCGTTCGCGAGGCGCCGGCGTTCTCGCTCGCCGTCGACAGGAGCCGCGAGCGCGATGTTTCACTGGATTGTCTGAGAGAGCATTTTTACATGACGTGGCGCGTGGACATTTGCAAACGCGGGCGGCGGCCGCGCGCCCCTCGCTCCGGCCGCGGAGACGCGCGCGCGCAGAATTCGCATTGTTCTCTATCGGGGGCCCGCCGGGAAGCGCGCCTCAAACGATCTCGCTACGTTCTGATCGGCGACTTCAGCGCGGAAGCGGGCGGCGGCGAAGCGGGCGACGTGCAAAGGGCGATTAACGCATGCGGGCCCAGGAGTGCAATTGCTCGAGGCCATTGCGCGAGTGCATCAGACGGCTGAGTAGCGCCTGTGCCCCCCCTTCCAAGCGGCGGGGGCGCGCGGCCGCCCGCGCGGGCGCGGGTGGCAGCGCCGGGCAGGTTTATTTCTGCGCGTTCGATGCGGCAGATTCACCGCGCGTCGCGGGCACTCGCGCGAATGCGCCACAGACGGCCGCAAATGCGCCCTTGCCGAGCAGAGGAGCACCAGCAGTCGCTGGCGCGACAGGAAGACAACCCCGAGGCAGATCATGACTTCGGCGTCCGTGGGCGCGCGCGTCGAGACCCCCGGCGAGAAGACTCGCAATTTTGACTCCCCTGAGAGCGCCGTCGCTGCTTGTCAGAAAGTAGAAGATTTAGCATTGGAGTCTGCGGCGCGCGCCGAGAGCGAGCAAAGCCCCGGCGGCGCCCGCAGCGACGGGGAATCAAAATTCCGGCGCTCACTGGACAGATGGGGAGCTGCATTGCGGGTCCAAGTTTTAGAGACGACATTGCCGAGCGCGCGAAATCGACGGGGGGCCGGGGCGCTGCGACGAGAAGGGGCCGCGCCAAAATTGGGCGCAATTTCCGGTTCTTCTCGCGATTCCAAAAGATCCCCCACCGCGGAGACAGTCGCGCGGCAGCAGCTCGTCGCGCGCGCGGCGGGCGGCGCCGGAGCAGTTCATGCCGGCGGGCAGTCAATTGCCGATGTCTCGTCTGAAGTGCATTCGGAATTTAATTCATTTGCAGGCAGCAAGCCAGCCGTGCATTCCACTCCAACGACACTTTCTGAAGCCAGCCCGGAGTTCACGCCGGGCGAAGGCAGAGATCCGACAGCCGCGGCGAGGCGCGCGCCGGGGCGCGCGTGGAGTCGCGGCGGGGGCGGGCAAGGGCGGCGGGGAAGCAGTTGGCGTGCTTTGGTTGCAGCTGCGCGCCAACATCGCATCGCCGAAGAGTCCATCGCCGAAGGCGCGGGCGCCGCCCGTCGCCGCAGCGCCGCGCAATTCTGACGACCCCGCGACAGCCGCGAACTACAGGCGGAGGACAAGAATACCAGTCCCATACGCCTTGTCTGCGACGCTTTTGCGCTCGATGTCGCGCCCCGCGCTGAGCGGGCATCGCGCCGCAGACCGAGCCGGCCCCAGGAGTGGCGCCGGCACGACGCACCATCCCTTTGCCGCGACAGCAACGCTGGAGGAGCGTCACGAGTGGCAACAACATATGCGGTTATCCACCATCGACTGCAGAAGGCTTTCGACTGCGCGGGCCATGGGAGCACGCGGCATGCGCTGGCCCGACGAGGCGTATCCGATGGATACATTCGACGGACGCGGTCGTTGTATTGTGGGCAAGTTGCTACGGATTACAGACCGTCGAACTGAGTGAGCCGCGTCGTATCTCGCGGGGCACGAAGCAATGGGGGCCTTTTGGGAATCTGGCTTCTCCCATCCAGAATGTAAAAAGGTTTCGGTGATGTTATGAAAACTTGGCACTCGAAGCAGTGGGGCCTCAACGCCGATGGGACAAATTTGTTGTGACTTACTAACCTGCGTCTCGCTGGTGATGTCATGCCAGCTGGAAGTGCATTTGCGCGGGTCAAAGTCGCGCTTGCAGACGCACGCGCAGCAGTTGGCAATCGTGGATTGGAAGCGTATCCAGGAACAATAATTGTTCAGTCGGACGCCACAGGAGCGACTGGGCGCCCCAAGGAGGCGAGCACACGCATTGGCGATGCGCACATTGACGGTGTAATTCGCGATTGTCATGTCAGGCATGTTGGCCGGAAGGCAAGTTTCGACCGCCCGGCGAGACCGAGCTAGGCAACGCGATCGGAGCAGCTTGGGGCAGATTTACGCCGCAAAGTTCGATTCTGAGTGATTGCAGGCATTCGCTCACTGAGCGGCTCCGCCTTTTCCATTGCACAGTATCCTCAGTGGTTTCACATAAGGGCGACCTATGGGTACTTAAGGACTTGACAGACAAACTAAGCAATACACCGGAATCTGCTGAGGATGATTCTGGTGGACAAAAGTCGTCGGACACCAGCTGAACAGGAACATTATCATTCATTTGTAAAACATATGGATTCGCCGTGTGGGGGGCGTTTTAGAGCCGCGGCTTGATTGATCAGACGCACTACCCATGAGGCAGATGAGGAATTGGGCAAGGTATGTTTGCGTGGTTGGGCTGGCTCACGCAAGCAGGCGGTGGTGCGATGGTTGAAAATACGAGCAAAAGGCGCAGCACTTGGGCCCAGAGGATTTGTTCGACGGCGCCGAAGCCACATGACACGGAGAGCTGTGCGACCCAGACGACGATGGAAGGACACGCAGCTGCAGGGTATGCAATTGATTGAGTACGACCTGCTGAACTTCTTCAATTGGGCATGAATGCCCGCAGTGCTGCTCACTAGTGGACCGTCCTTGAACGCCCCGCCCGTGTCTGCCTGTCTGTGTGTTTCCTCTTCTGGCTCTTACCCCTCCTCCTCCTCCTCCTTTTCCTCCCCCTCCTGCTCCATCTCATCCTGTTTTTTTCTCTTTCCTCCTTCCTTTTCCATCCTCGTTCCTTTTCCATCCTCCTCCTCCTCCTCCTCCTCCTCCTCCTCCTCCTCCTCCTCCTCCTCATCATCATCATCATCATCATCATCATCATTCCTCTTTCCTCTTCCCCCATCCCCCCACGGTCCCTTTTCACCCCCCGCCCCTCTGACCCCTTGCTCTTCCCAACTTCCTCTCCCCGCTAAGCGGGGGCGGGAGGGCTGCGCCCAAAGCGCGGGGCTGCGGGAGGGCCAGCCGCGCCGCAGCGCCCGGGACGCCTCAGAGGCCGAGCGCGGGGCCCGCAGCCCTCTTGGGGGCACCCAGTTCGTTTTCCTCGTCCCTCCTCCTCCTCCTCGTCCTTTCGCCGTGGAGGAAATGGGCCCGTTTTCTGATGTTCGAAGCCTCCACGGGCCCCTGGGCTGTCAGAGAACGATTCAGGATGAAGAACTCATCCGGGGGGAGGTTCCATGGTCCAGGACCCGCTTCCCTAAGGAACCCGACTCCCCCTTGTTACTCCTCGTCCGCATCCCTTGGTCCTCTTTTTCTTGACGGTGCTTTTGATGTTCACTTCCTCTCCCCCCTCCTGCTCCTCCTCCTCCTGCTCCTCCTCCTCCTCCTCCTCCACATCCTGCTGCTTATCCTTCTCCTTTTCCTCTCCTTCCTCTGTCCTCCTCCTCCTCATCCTGCTCCTCCTCCTCGTTGTTATCCTCCTCCCTTTCCTCCTCCATATATGTGTATATATATATATATATATATATATATATATATATATATGTCCAGTTTTGAAACGTGAAGCGGAGCCGTGGGGAGAGAGAGCGCCGCATTCGTCTGTGCCTGCCCCGCTGGCACTGGGCTCAAAGTGCAAGCCGACGGCACTTCGATGGCCTTCGCCGCATGGCTGGCTGGCGAGGCGGTGCACGGCGCAGGTCATGCTGCGCTGCTGTGGGCAGCCCGCGGTGAGTGCCCAGCCTGCACGTGCTCGCCGGCCCTCACCTGCGCCCCCGGCCAGGAGGTGACGCGCGTGGACTGCCCAGGCGGGTCGCCAGGGTGGGCGCTGTCAGCGGTGGCCCTCGCGGGCGCGACTGGTTTCGCAGGAAGGCTCCTGGCCGCGCGGTGGCTGAGCCCCTGGCAGCCGATCACTCGCCTCCCGCCTCAGCCCTCTTTGGAGGAGGCGGCTAGAGCGCAGGCGACTGCAGTCAGAGAGCGGGCCTGTGCATCGTGATGGCCAGCTCTGCAGCCGCCGCGGCGGCCAGTGGACACCCTTTGGCTCTGGACGGACTCGACGAGGGCGATTTCATCCTGGTGCTGTATCGTGTGGGAGGTGGCCGGATCTGGCACGAGCGTCTGATCCTGGCGTTCCAGACGGTGCCGCCCTTCGGGACAGGGGTGTTGACTCCTGATGGACACGCCTACGTGGAGGCCATCATGCAGAACGGGGCCGACATCAGGGAGTACGCCATTCCCGCTGGCGCCGCAGTCGGCGCCGTGGCTGCCGCCACAGGTGGGGATCAGGTATACCGATTCCGTGGTCTCCCTCTTCCCGGAGAAGTCGCAGCGGGTGCCGCCTCAGTGCGGGGCACTCTTGGGCTGGGCGCTGGGCCGCCGATCGCGCTGAACACGGCAGGGCGTGCCATCGTAGCCGTGATAGGCGTTCCGGCTGGCGCTGGGCCTGCGGGGGCCTTCGCTGCGGGAGGCGCCGGCGGCGCGCCGGGGGCTCTGGGCGGCCTGGCAGGGCTGGCGGCAGCCCTCGGAGGCGGCCCAGCAGCCGCGCCAGCTGGGGCAGCCGCCCTTGTGCCAGTGGCGGCCGCGCCTGCACCTGCGGCAGGAGGAGCTCCAGCTGTCGTACCCTTTGGCGGAGGAGGGGCTCCCCCCGCTGCTCCTGGCGCCCTGGGCGGCGCCGCCGTGGCCGCGCCGGCGCTTTGGCCTGCGGCCGCCCCCGCGCCTGCCGCAAGTGGTAGCCCTGGTCCTGGTGGTGTGGCCGCAGCTCTTGCCGCCATCGCCGGCGCTCCAGGCGGCGATGCTCGGATTCAGTCAGTCGCCCTTGACACGCAGGGGGTGAGATATGTGGACTTCCGAGCTGCAGTGGTTCGCCTTCACGAACTGCCATGGGGCGATTGGCCTCTCAAGGGGCCACGCACACTGCTATGGGCACTGTGCTTCATATGCCGCAATGGGGGAACGCCCATGGGGAGGCACGCGAAGTGGGTCTCGGAGGGGCACCTGGAGCCTGACGATCCTGGCGTGGACATCCACCTGCTGTGCTGCCGCCTCCTCGAGCTGAGCGTGGTCTACGATCAGCTCCACGTGACCAACCTTGCGGCCATGGAGTTGGTCGGGCGGACCCTCTAGACGCAGGAGGAGCTGTACCGTGACAGGTTCGCGGCGTCCTCGGAGTTCGGCTCAGATGCTGCGCTGATGTCGGGTGCTCTGGACGCTGGCGGCAACGCGTGCGTAGCCCCTGCCCTGAGGGACTGGCTGGCCGCCGAGAAGGCGCGCGAGGCCAACATAGCTAAGGAGCGCCGCAAGGCGCGTGAGGAGCGGCTTCTCGCAGCCGGCGGCAGCTCTGGCGACGGGCGCGGCAGCGATGGCCGAGGTCGAGGGCGCGGCCGCGGCCGCGGACGAGGCAGAGATGGCGGGAGGGGCGGCCGCACAGCCCCAGACGGCCATGGCTGAGAAGCACCAGGGGGGGGCACTTGGGCCAGCGTCTCCCTGGAACAGGAGTGCGGTTTCGGCCGCAGGCCCGGGCGCGCGTGGAAGTCTCCGACACCGAGACGTCTTCCCGCTGCCGTCCCCCGCCGCTGCCACCGGCCCACCCCCATCGCCTGGCAGTCGTCGCTCGGCTAGGCGCGCTGGGCATCGCCTTCATCGTGGAGAGAGGGTTCGCTCAGCCGTCAACGCACTTAATTCGCTCTATGGGTCTCGGTCCTCGCCTCCAGCTGCGGCTCACGAGGGGCAGCGCCAGGCCACCGTGCACATTACGGACAGCATCGACGAGCTGGGGCGCCCGCCGCCAGAGTTCATGTCGGGAAACGCTGCCGAAGACGGAGCCCTCCGGGAGCTCCTCTCCTGCGCCAACCTGTATGGTACTGGCGCCGCGACGTCGACCCCCGACGTCAGCGACAGAGTCGCGTGGCCTGCCGCGGGTGGGACCCCAGTGGACATCGTCGAGCTGGTGCCGCCCGTGGATAAGGTCTGGCTGGAGGGTTGGCGGAGTCACATGCTTCGAGATCCACGTGCTGCTGCTGATCTGGCCAGGGAAGCGTGCCCGAAGGGGCCCTTTTGCGATCCCGCCCTGACGCGCGACGTGAGCACGTACGGTCGTTTTTTGATTCAGATGTACGAGAGACAGATGGTCAACTTCGCGGTGGACTCCGGCCACCCTCGCACCGTCGGCCTCTTCTTCGTTCCCAAGAAGACGGGGGCCCTCCGCATCATTTTCGACACGAGGGCCGCCAACTGCAAGTTTTTAGACGCGCCCAGCACTCGGCTACCGTCGGCTTCAGCCTTCAGTTTGATCGAGGCGCCGATCGAGGGCATGCACATGTCCACCTGCGACCTGGAGTGCGCCTTCTACCGCATGAAGCTCCCGGAGGGCATGGGGGTGATGTTCACCTTGCCGCCGCTCAAGGCGGGGGTGCTTCAGGAGCTCGGCCTCGTGGACCTCGACTTCGACCCGTCGGTGTCCCTCTCGCCCCAGGTTATTGTGTTTCCTATGTTTTTTTCGTGGGTATTGCATATTTGCCAAGCTGCTGCTCGCCACGTGCTGTCGGACGACGGCCGCTCTCTGGATCAGACCGCTCAGGGCGGCCATCCTGGGGTAAACGTGGCCAAGAAGAATGTCGTGGGGGTGGCCGCCTACGTCGATAACATCCTTGTCTTCGGTGGCTGCAAGGCCTTGGTGGATGAGACTATGCGCAGGCTGGCGGGCACCTTCAGGAGACGCGGTCTTCCAGTGCACGAGATCGAGCCCGCTGCTCTGGATGCCGACTTCCTTGGCCTCAGCCTCCGCAGTGGAAGATATCTTCGCATCAAGCCTCGGAATATTTGGAGGCTCCATTTTGCGATATCCAGTTTGTTGAGGCGTGGATGGTGCTCCGGCCACATGCTCCGTGCGGTGCTTGGTCACATCACGTGGACGTCGATGATCCGCAGAGAGGTACTTACCGTGCTGCATAGCTCCTATGGCTACGTCGGTGCCTTCGGCACGAGGCACGGCAAGCTCTGGCCGTCAGTGGTCAAGGAGCTCATCATCATTAGGGACCTGCTCCCTATTTTGACCTGTGACCTGACGGCGGAGTGGCATGCCGTGATGACGGCCAGCGACGCTTCTCCCTTTGGCCTCGGCGTCATGCGGCGGCGGGCGCCTGCTGCCACTTGTGCTGCAGTAGGGCGGTGCTCGGAGCGTTGGCGCTATAAGGTCGAGGGCGGGCACCAGGCTCGTCTGCGGTCGCTCAAGGCTGCTGAATTGGTGATTGATGAGGGGACAGGCGAAAACAGACAAAGTCCGACCTCTTCCCCTCCACCTCTCATGCCAAGATCCTGCGGTAACGGGGATCACTCTGAGGAGCACCTGGGCAACTTGGGGAGTCACGCGTTGAAGAATCCAGAGGACAACGAGAGGCCGGCACCTTGGGCGTCCACGGCGAGGACTTGGGCATCCCTGTGGAGCACAACGTGACCGAGGCCCTGAGGTTCAGCATGGACCCCTGGGAGCTCGACGAGGTACCAGGACACATTACACGTAAAGAAGCCTGGAAGAGCGTCAGCGCACAGCCGGTATCTCTGGGGGCCAATATTCTTTACCGTGAGGGCGAAGCCTTAGTCACCTCTCATCGGCACCTACTTCGTAACTTGGGCAGTCACGGCAAGCGCATGGTGGCGTTAGTCGACAACCTGCCCTTGGCTCTTTCTTGTACGAAGGGGAGAGCCCGCTCGAGTTTCTTGAGGTCATGTCTCAATCAGTTGTGCTGTCTGTCTTTAGCCACGGGCTCGAGGCTTTGTGCACGTTGGATCGCTTCAGAAAGGAACCCATCAGACTCGCTCAGCCGTGGAAAGCTGGGCTGGTTCAGCGGCCATCGTCATCTTAGTGATGCTCGGACGGCTGGTCGGGGGCTGCGTCGCCCTCCCCGCCCTGCTCCTGCTGTTCACGAGGGCGGAGGCATCGCCGCGACAGGGATCGCGCACCCCTTCGGCCTCGGCGAGACACCGCGCGATCCTGGCTGCCAAGGCCACGGGCAGGAGTTCCGACACGTTGGCCATGATCTTGCTGGTGCAGCAGGCTGTGAGACTGAACGCAGAAGCCTTTTACCGGCAGCCGCAACACACGTTCGTGAGCTACTGTGCGGACCGCCGCCTGGACTGGAGCACGTTGGGGCATTTGGACACGATCCTGGCGGAGTACCTCACCGAGCGCCACCGGGCGCAGAGGCTGACGCCCGACCGCGTCGTGCAGCCGTTCAGCGGCGCGGGCGCCGCGTACCGGCTCTGGAGCCTCCTGCTGCATCCAGCAGTCCGCGGCCAGGGCGGGATGACGGGAGCGCCCGACGTGCCGATCCCGCTCGATCTCGACCTGTACCTCGCGCCGATCCTCAAGGCGGTCCGCCTGAAAGGGCCTGTTGCGAAGACTCTGTGGGGATTCAGTCTCGGCCTGCGGAACCTGATGTTCTTTCTTGCGGCAACGATCCTGGGCATCAATCACCTGCTCACCCACTCGTTCAGGATGAGGCATGGCATAGTGAGCTACGACCTCTCGACGCAGACGCGATCGGTGGAGCGGGCGCGCCGCCGAAGCCGCTCGGCCGTCATGGCGTCGATGCGGCACTGCGCGGGGTTGCCGGCTCTTCATCGCGAGCTTCAGGACGTGGCGGAGGTCGCGTACTCGTTCAGCCACCACATGGAAGGGCGGTTCTGCGAGCTGCTGGAGATGGGCTTCCGCAGACACTGGTGCCTCGCCGAGGTGCCCTACCTGCTAGTGGAGGCGATGCTGATCTGCGGCCCAGCGCGCGGCAGGCGGGCTCAGACGAGGCCCGCAGCTGCGGCGCAGTGAGTGCCGCACGCGACGCCGTCCGCCTGCACCTGAGGCGGCGCTTCAAGGAGGCTGTGCAGCGGGGATCTCTATGTCGCAGGCGCGGTGTGGTAGAGCTTTTCAGCGGTTCAGGCCACTTTACCGCCGCGGTGCGCCAACTTGGCCTCTCGGGTCTAGGTCTTGACATCAGGCATGGGCCTCTCGAAGACCACCTCGATGCCACCTTCGAGGAAGTCATCGTCGGATGGCTGTGTAGCCATTCAGTCGCAGCTGTTTTTCTAGGGACGCCCTGTACCACCTGGTCGCGGGCTCTCAGGAGGCCCCTGAGATCTCGGGACCACCCAATGGGACTCCCTCAGTTGAGCACTTCCGAGGGGGCCTGCCTACAGCAAGGCAACGCTTCCTTTGCGCTTACGTGCCGCATCATCAGAGGATGCATTCGTCTTGGGACGCCTGTGATGCTGGAGAATCCAGCAAGCTCCATCATGTGGCATGCTCGCTCTTTGTCTCGGCTCGTTCAGTTACCGTCTGCACGCAGTTGTGATCTAGACCAGTGCGAGTATGGTGCACTTTGGCGGAAGCGTACGAGAATCGTCTCATGGCATGCTGGCCCTGTTGAATCCTTATGCCGCGCGTGCCAGGGGAGACGCGGACTGTGCTCACGCACTGCCATCAAGCATGTAATTCTGTCCGGCCAGAGCCCTGCAGGATGCAAGTACATTGCGCTCGCGGCTGCTTATCCAGCTACCCTGGCTAATGCTCTCGCAAATGTAATCAAGCGCGCTGTGCTCAAGGCGCCGCAGCAAGCGATGGCTAGCCTAATCAGCAAGTAGCGTTTCTCCGTGCTTTCTCGCTTCGGCATCGAAGTGCCTCTTTACTTTTCGGCCGCCCCTGCCACTCTGTCAGTGGCGGCCAGAGCTTCCTTTGGGGTTCGGGAACTCTCTATCTGGTCTGACCTCTGTGCAGTCTGCTCCGTGCCCAGCTGCTCGCCTGGTAATCATATCATGGCAGTGTTTACTGCCCTAGCCTGGCTCGCGCTCGACACATACAGTAAAAAAGAGACAGAGCCCCTTCAGTCCTCAGGCCCCGCGTGCGAGGCTCTGTAGATCTTTGTTCTGGTCCAGCTCTGGCGCTCGGGATCCCCGTGGCGGGCTGTCCAGTTTTGAAACGTGAAGCGGAGCCGTGGGGAGAGAGAGCGCCGCATTCGTCTGTGCCTGCCCCGCTGGCACTGGGCTCAAAGTGCACCCACCCACGCGCCGCCCTGGCCCTTTTGGCCCATCTATAACTTGCTGCTCATCGCGCCTGGGAGCTCTCTATCTGGTCTGACCTCTGTGCAGTCTGCTCCGTGCCCAGCTGCTCGCCTGGTAATCATCTCATGGCGGCGTTTACTGCCCTAGCCTGGCTCGCGCTCGACACATACAGTAAAAAAGAGACAGAGCCCCTTCAGTCCTCAGGCCCCGCGTGCGAGGCTCTGTAGATCTTTGTTCTGGTCCAGCTCTGGCGTTCGGGATCCTCGTGGCGGGCTATATATATATATATATATATATACATAAACTCCTTTTCCTCAGCGATAACTCCGCCCTGTCGCGCCCCGGGGCCGATCGAAAAGGCGGGCCGGGCGCTTCGCCGGAACATTTGTCACCATTCATGTTCTCGAAAATTAAAACATGCAACAGTTTCGCTCATGAAGGGCAGGTCGGTTTCAAGATGTGGCTGTCGCTTTAGCTCCGCGCGCATTCGTTTGAAACATGTGCAATACTTTCACGGATTGACAGCGATTCGTTTTCAAAAGGTGTGTTTCGCATTAGCGCCGCGTGCATTCGTTGTTCGATGCAAGAGCTCCACGGAGTGAAGGCGAGTGGTTTTCAAAATGTGGTTATTGTTTCTGTGTCGTTCTCATGTTTTCCCAAAGTTAGCAAGAGCTTCGCGGATTGAGGGTGGGTCGTTTTCAAAATGCGGTTTTCGCCGAAGCGCCGCGCACATTCGCTAAAATTGGCAAGCGCTTCACGGATTGAGTGCGGTTCGTTTTCAAAAGGTGGTTCTTGCCTCAGCGCCGCGCGCATTCGTTGTTAAACATTACAATAACTTCACGGTTCGTGGGCGGGTGGTTTCCAAAATGCGTTTGTTGCCTTAACGCCTCGCGCATTCGTTGTAGAGCATTCCAAGAGCTTCACTGTTCCAAGAAGGCCCAGGGTCTTCCGAATGGGTCCCCGGCCCTGCCGAGGAGGAAGAGGAGGAAGAGGAGAGGGTTGGACCAAACACTAGCAGGGGCGGCCAGCTAGGGGCAGGGAGGGGCAGAGGGGGAGACGGGTGTCGGTGGTGACGTCGTCGGAGGTCGTGGCCGTGGTCGTCGTCGTCGTCGTCGTGGTGGAGGCGAGTCGAAATGCCGCCGGGGCCGTCGCAATCGTCGCAATCGATGTAGCCCTGCTCGCCGCTGCTGCCAGGGTCGCCGCCGTGGTGTACCACGGCGGCGACCACGGCAGCAGCGGCGACCACGGCCACCACGGCACCATCCAACACGTCTGCCGTTGTAGTGGTTGTCGTGTTGGATGGTGCAGCGGTGGTGGTGGTGGTGGTGGTTGTGGTGGTGGGAGCTGTGCGCCTCGCTGCCATTTGGCGCTAAGCACCATCTCTGCGGCTGCTCCGTTGGAGCTGTTGGTATCGCTGCCGCCATACCTTGCCGAGCACCTCGCCCCGGGCCACTTCTTCATCGACGTTATGCCCATAAGCTTGGATGAACTTTGCGGCTTCGTCGGACGGGCGGCCCAATGTCTTGAAGACCAGAGGGGCAAGGTCAACCCCGCTGGGGAGGTGCCAGGTCCGCTTCTCACGGGCCATGGCTTTTGCGGCCACGCCGTCGTTGGTGGACCGGGTTTGCCTGCGACGGGCGTACTCTGAGCATTCGCAGGCAATGCTCCAGTCGACATAGAAAGGCCGGCCAGTTACCATATCCTTGGCGGCGACGTGCAGCTTGGCAGCCTGTGCGCCTGTTGACGCGGTCCCACGCTGGGACAAGTTGTTCTGTGGCTTTGGCCAAGCCAGTGAGGGTGGTGTGCAGCTGCGCATGCCATTCTCACATGCGGTAGTGGCGGGCGATGCGGGACTGTCCAACTCCGCAACACCTCGCGTGCCACCCGTAACCGTCCAGTGGCGCGCCGCAGACGGCACCGTCGTCGCGGCGGTGCTGGCATGCCGCGCCCGGCGGACAGACGCAGCACCAGAGGCGAAGCTTCATGGCGGTGAGGAGTGATTGTCCGGCAGGGCTGGGTCGCTCTCCTCGCAAGGCAGAACGAAGCCGCCGGCGCCCGGAGCGCCAGGCGGCCGTTCTCCCCGAGCGCGCCGAGAAGCTTGACTCTTGTGGCCGCGGAGCGAGTCTCTCCCCACCCGCGTCGCAGCTTGGGGACGGGTTCTTGGAAGCAGACCAGCCAATCGAATTCGCCACTCAGTGACCCCTGGGCGCGGAGGTCGGCGTCAGATTCCATGAGGGCCTGGTGAAGCAGGGGCACTGCGCTCGGAAGGCCTCCCAGCTCTGGAAGGAAGCCCGCGGCCTGCACTATCTCCTTCAGGACGAGGGCCAAGCTCGCCACGTATGCTGATGAGGAGGCAGCCCAGGCGCCCTTGAGGCGCATGGTCCTCCCTCCTCCTCCTTCGCCCTCCATCCTCATCCGCATCCTCATCGTCATTCCCCTGCGTCCTTTTCATCCTCATCCTCCTTCGCCCTCCATCCTCTTGCCTTTCTTCCGGTCATGACTCCTCCACCCTCCTTCCTCCCCCGTTTTTTTGCCTCCCTCCTCCCCCCCAGTCCCCCTCCTCCCCTTCAGTCCTTCCTTCTCCCACCTCCTCCCTCCTCTTTCCCCTCCCACCCGCCCTCCTCTCCCCTCTGCTCCTCATCCGCTCCGCCTCCTCTCTGAGATGGCGCCGCTGGCAGCTGCCTGCGGCGCGTGGCGCCTTGCCCTTCACAGGAGCGCCGCGGAGAGGGGGGGGCGGGAGTACGCCGCCACCCGATTCGTGCGGACCCCCCACGAGGAGGGATGAGGGAGGAGGAGGAGGAGGAAGAGGAGGAGGAAGAGGAGGGATGAGGAGAAGGAGGAGGAGGAATAATAAGGAGGAGGAGAAAGGAGGAAGGAGGAGGGAGGAGGAGGAGGAGGCAGGAGGGAGAGTATCGGCTCCCACCCAGGGACGAAGCCGCCACAGTGCCAGGCGTCGGGATCGGGGATGACCTTCTGGCGGGGAGCCGCGGGAGCGAAGCCTCGATGCGACCAGCGCACGTCCTCCCGCGCCCTCTTGGGCGTCGCGTAAGGGGGGGGCGATACAGGGGGGAGGGGCGGCGAGGGCTGCCGAAAAGGAGCCCTAAAGGGCCCTTACATGGATCCCTTTAGAACCCAAAACAGAGCCCTCAGGGCCCGAAAAGTGTACCTGTCCTTCCCCCCCTGATTTATCGGCCCCCTCTGAAGCGACGCCGACCCCTCGAGCCAGACTGGGCGCAGCGGCCCTCGGGAGCGGCGCCCATCCGAGCGACGCAGAGAAAAGGAGGTCGTCTTCACCGACACTGACGCGTAAGCTGCTCGCGTACGACCGCGCGTAAGCGCACTTGCCAATTACCCGTGTAGCGTGCCGCGCCGGCGGCCCATCTCGCGTAAGACCCGTGTTTTCCGCCGCTCGACTTGGCATACCACCGAGGGAAACCGTGGCCCTCGGGAGCGGCGCCCGCACACCCGCAGCGAGCCTGCTTTGGCTGGGAGAACACCACGGCCTGCACTGGCCAGCCCTCTTCCGGGGCCTGCCACCAGCGGTGCCGGGCACCCCTGTTGCGGGACGGGAAAATGACCACAGCCACTGCATCTTGTTTGCGCCTCCTCCCAGCCGGCCGAAAAAGAAGCAGTGGTTGTGGTCATGTTCTTGGTGCCAAGCTTAACGAATATGACCACAACCACTGGTTTGTTTCTGCTGGCTGGAAGGCGGCAACAAAAGAAAAGCAGTGGCTGTGGTCGTCTTCACGTCCCATACTTGTGGCCAGCACCTCAGGCACGCACGCGTGAGCCGGCACCCTCCAGAAGCCTTCGGCGCCAAGGGACGCCCCTGGAGACTCAGCGCCGCCGCCGTCTCCGCTGCAGTCGTCGACGTCGGCGCCGTCGCAACCCAAAGCCGCGCCCTCCGCCCAGGACCGCGCCCGGAGGCCTGGCGCCGCCGCCCTCCGCGGCAGAGACACCGCGGCCGCCGCGCGGCGCCGGCGTAGGTGCAGGCCCCTGCTTCGGCCCGCCGTCGCCGTCGTCGCCGTTATCGACGACCACGACCGACCGACGGCGGCTTTCTGTCGTCGTCGATGATCGGTCACCGTCGTCATCGCCGTCGTCTGTCGTTCATCGTCGACGTCGTCGGTCGTCGTTGTTATTCGCCGTCGGTCGGTCGACGTCGTCTTCGTTCGTCGCCGTCGTTCGCCGTCGTCCGCTATTCGTCGTCCTTGTGTCGTCGTGGCGATCGTTGTCTGTCGTCGTCATCGTGTTCGTCATTCATCGTTGTCGTCGTTGTCCTCCTCGATGTCGCCGTCGGAGGGACACACGGGGGAGAGCTGACCCTCGCTCTGGCCCTCCCCCGCCGAAGGCGGTGACTTGGTGTGAGTTGGTCGCGCGCGCAAGGCTCCCAGGTTGCCCCTCCCCGGGAGGAGGGGCAGCAGGGGAAGCGAGGCAAGGAGGAGGAGGAGGAGGAGGAGGGAAGATTTCGGGGGGGATGGGGTAGACGAAGAGAGGAGGGAGTGGAGTGG